GGTGGGGGTGGGGGTGGGAGAAGGGGGTTGGTGAGGTGTAGAAAAGGTATTTCGATGGCAGAGGTCTCGGTGTAACAACCGGATGTGAGAGACGATGTAGGCAGAGCAGCTGGGGTGATCCAGGAGTCTATGGCAACCACCGTAGAGCATAACAACCCTTGCCCGGGAGAGTGTGTGTGTGTGGGGGGGAGGAACAGGTGTGAAGAGGAAATGGGTTCGGCTTAAGTCTGAGATGCCTGGGAAACCTGTAGGGCTAGATGCTCAAGAGTCACAGATGTTCAGGTAAGAGAAGGAATCAATCGTGAGCCCAAATGTTGCCACAGGTCAAAGAGAGAGGAGGGGAAAGTATCCTTCGAACGTAGCTGTGTGAAGCACACAGAGTACCTTGAAGGGGACAATGCCGGGGAGCCCCTGGGAGGCGAGCAAGCTGAAACCATGAGCGTAGAGAATTCTCCAGAAGCGCAGCAGGCAGAGGGAGGAGAGCAGGCTGCAGATGGAGGGAGCTGGGGCTTTTTTGGTCTAGGACGGAAGGAGCTGGTAGAAAGGCAGGTTGAAGACAACGACATAAACGAGAAAGCCCAGCAGAAGAGATGGAATCCATGAAGGAAAGGGCCATGGCGGGTGGGGGAGGGGGCAGCTGACATCTGGCACGGGATGCATGCGGGTCTCCGCGGGTAGAGAACTGAGACACAAAGAGAGGGCAGTGTGTGCAGAGAGGAGGTGGCCCTTCCTCCACTCACGGGCCTGCAGAGGAAGCAGTGTGCTTGTGGAGAAGCTAGGAGTTTTAAAAATAGATCTATTTATTTATTTATTTATTTATTTATTTATTTATCTATTTATTTATTTATTACGTATACAGTGTTCTGTCTGCACGTTTGCCTGCATGCCAGAGCTCTTAACTGCTGAGCCATCTCTCCAGCCCTAGGCTTTTTTTTTTTTTTAACTAGAAGATGAAGAAGTAGGGGTGTGATGGGATTCAGTGATAAAATGGGGTCCCCGAGGAACTGTTTTGAATGAAAGGGGTCAGAGATGTATGCAAGCGGGTGCGGCAGATAAACTTACACCACCATGTGGTATGGTTAAGGGGAGGATTTTTATTCTGCCCAAGAGAGAGAAAGTACCCAGGAGCATTTGGAGGGGTCCAGAGCAGAGAGAAGGGGAGCAAACAGGGCTTTGAATAGAGAGAGAGTGTAGCAGGGAAGAGGGAAGCTTGCTTGTGAGGACGGGGAGCGAGATACGGAGAGAGTGACTTCCTGGAGTGAGCTCCGGAAGCTTGTGAGGACAGGGAGCGAGATACGGAGAGAGTGACTTCCTGGAGTGAGCTCCGGAAGGGGCAGCTGGGCAGGCGGTATATGCTGCTAGCCCTCTAGTGGGGGGGTTGAGTCAGAAGGTTCAGAAATTCAAAGTCAACTTTGAAAAAAAAAATTTAGGGCTGGAGAGATGGCTCAGAGGTGAAGAGCACTGGCTGCTCTTCCAGAGGTCCTGAGTTCAATTCCCAGCACCCACATGGTGGCTCACAACCATCAGTACTGAGATCTGGCGCCCTCCTCTGGCGCGCGGGCATACATCAAGGCAGAATGTTGTATACACAATAAATAAATCTAAAAAAAAAAAAGTCAACTTTGGCCACGCAGCAGATTCAAAGCCAACTTGGGCTGCATTAGCGACTGTCTCAGCTTCTCATTTCCCTAAAAATTTTAAAATAGAATTTAAAAATCCTCAGATACTTTTCGATTTTAAAATTTATGAACTGATATTTACTTAGTTTCTTATTTGGGCCTCAGGTTGTTTTAGTTATGGATTAAATTTACTTTTATTTCTCACAGGGGTTTTCCATTTTACCTTTTTAAAGGTATAGGCCACCTTTTCGCCTCTGCCTAGTTCATGACACGTGAGCAGTTCAGAGGAGCACCGTGGAGCCCTGGAAATGCTATCCCATCCGTTGCAGGGGCCAGCTTCCTCCGTTTTCCCTGTCAGCAGGTTTTGTGGAGAACATCTTGCTGGTAGACCCCATCTTATTGTTTAATGATAAAATTCAGTGAAGCACTGAAGGAGAAGGCTTTAAAATATCCCTTGTGGGGCTTTGACGAAGAGCGGAAGGGTCTCCGCACTAGGCCCGTTGCCCTCTTTTTCTCCTGCCTTATTAGCTCGACCGTAAATTGCACACTTTCCACGAAGCGTTGCCTCTCCGCTAACTTCCGGAGCTTCAGTCCAGCGCAGCACCGGGTGGTTCAGGGATCACTTTACAGTTGGCTCAGAGCATCAGCTGACCAGAGACATAACCTTGTTACAGGTTTTAAATGAAGCCGCTATATTAGCAAACCAGGTGGCTCAGATAATGCCCGGGGTAAAAAACACGAGCTTTGATAGCTAGTTCGCTGCAGGACCTAAGAGTACAGCTAGCGTTCTTTTTCAGATACAGACAACACTGTCGGCAGGCAAGAGATATGTACGTGGGGTCAGTTCCCTCATCTGCTGTCATTGATTCTTTGCTCTGTTATGAAAGTGATCAAACCTATTTGAAGAAAGAAACGCATTAGACCGTCAAACCGGACGTCTGTTTCTTCAAAACATACTTAAGAAGGACGTGTTGGCCGGGTATGCTGGCATACACCTTTAATCCCAGAACTCAGAAAGCAGGGCAGGCGGATTTCTGTGATTTCAAGGCTAACCTGGGCCACAGTGCGACACTCTTTTATTTATTTATTTATTAAAGATTTCTGTCTCTTCCCCGCCACCGCCTCCCATTTCTCTCCCTCTCCCCCTTTCTATTCCCCCTCCCTCTTCTTCCCTAAGAGCAATCAGGGTTCCCTGCCCTGTGGGAAGTCCAAGGACCACCCACCTCCATCCAGGTCTAGTAAGGTTAGCATCCAAACTGCCTAGGCTCCCACAAAACCAATAGGTGCAGTAGGATCAAAAACCCATTGCCATTGTTCTTGGGTTCTCAGTAGCTAAATAAGAAGGAGAACCCAAAGAAAAACATATAGGCATCCTCCTAAATATTAACCTTCATCAGGCGATAAAAGGAGACAGAGACACTCTTGACTTGAAACAAACAACAGAGGCGCGTGTTGGAGTAGTTGTCGGTGGCCATTTGCTGCAGCTGAAACTGGCTGAGAGCCAGAGCTTCTGACATTTTTAGATGCCTGTGCTGCCATCTGGAGGAGAGAATTGGAAGGACATGGAATAATTTCCCAGATGGAATTAAGGGAAAACCAACACTTGAAACGTGTTTGTACAAAACCCTAAGAAAAATCAGTAAGCTTTGGCAGCTCTAACATTTTGATTTTCTATTTTCTTTCCAGATGGTCCAGTTACAAACAGGAATTGAATATCTGTCTGTGTATGGGCTTTATATCAACACGTCGGGCATTTCCAGGGCTCCAATGAGCGTTTTCTTAGATATATAAAATCAGTCATGAAGGTTTTCTGGTCCTCTGCAGGATGTGGAGATGAAGTGGATTGGGTTTTTTGTTGTTTGTTTGTTTGTTTGTTTGTTTGTTGTTTGCTTGGTTTTTCTGGTGAAAGAACAAGAGGAAGAAGCCTTTCAAGCCTTTCAAGAAGCAGTTCCTTGAAGTTCAAGGCCACAAATCCTATTTATCTTACGGGTACTCATAGGTGGTGTCAGTCAAACACATTTTGCTAGGGAAAACAATACTGAGTTGATTTTAATAGCCTTTAACTTACTGGTGTACTCTGTGAGTTTGAGACGATGAAAACGCCAGGCAAGCCTCCTCAAACTTCCTTGACTTTGAAGCCCTTGCTTTTCAGAGAACAGGTGTCCTGTGTCTACTTCAGGAACTATTCTCACAGGGAAGGGAAACTGGCCCGCTGTGTGAACACCAACGTGCAAACAGACCAGCCCTCCCCCAGCTCTTGTACGCTTCTCTGTCTAAACATTGTTGAAGCCTTGTTTTGGGTCGAGTGGCTTACGGGGTGTAACCATGGTCACTAACAACAGGGCTGTGTCTCTGTGAGTGCTTCATTGAGTGTACTTTCACAAGCCTCAGCGGCATAGGTGAATTAACTCTATGCGAGTCCTCTTGTGCAATCAGGAACTGTGAACACAGCGTTATGGGACTGCTCTCGGCCTAACATGGCAAACTGTTCTAAGTAACAGCTTTTGTTCCCCTGCTGTGTGTTGTGCCTCTTCTCATGCATGAAGAGGCTAGGCCAGGGTGTCAACATCCTGTGTTGCTCTTTACTTTGTTCTGTTGGAGGAAGGTCTCTCTCTCTCTCTCTCTCTAAGCCTGGGATGACTCACTCACGATGCGGACACTCAGTAAGCCCCAGTGAGTCTTCCCTTTCCACCCTCCACAATCCTGGGGTTCCAGGAATTCACATGACAATGCCTGCCTTGTTCCATGGGTACCAGGAACTGAACTCAGGCCCTCATGGTTAAGCAGCAAGAGAACGGTTAATCACTGAGATCTATCTTCACCTTCCCTCAGTTTTTTTAGACGAGGTCTCATGCAGCCCAAGCTGGCGTCACACTCATTTTGTTGCTGAGGGTGACCATGAATTTCTGTTGTTCCTGCTTCTGCCTCCTGAGTGCTTGGATGGCAGGAATTCACCACACTTGGTTTATGTGGTGGTGGGGATGGAATGCAGGCCTTGGCGCATGCTAGGCAAGCACTCCATCTGCTGAGCTACCCGCAACCCCCTCTGTTTAGTTTTCTTAGTAAGTGGGACCACACTCTAAAACAAAGAGAAAAACGATAACATAGCAATGAATATAGGGGTAACATGGCCCATTTTTATCCTCAGGAAGGATTCTGTATTGTACATAATTGTGTGTACTTTCCTAAGTGTGATGTCATGGTGACTTTATATACTTAGTGTCCAGACTAGCCAGTAATGTCCAGTGGTACACTGTGGCGGTGGCGGTGATGCCCCAGGTTCTCCGGCCATGCTGTATCGGTAAGAAACCCGAGTGATGTGGACTGCAGTTGCCTAATCTTCAGTCTGCGGTATAACTGCTTTTTTTTTTTCCCTAGAAGGAATGCAAAAGAGGTGAGCTTCTTCTTGAAGTTTGCTACGTGAAGATAAAACACAAGGAGTTCACCTATAGTATAAGACACATTTATCTGCACTTCTGTGCCAAGGAGCATACCGTAAGAATGTCTCTCTGCTTTTTATACATCTAGTCTACTGTAACTCTATGAAGGGGCTAGGAGGAGGGAAAACAGAGCTGAGAAAGTCAGAGCCTGGCTGCTGTCTGACCAGTCAATAAGGGAGCAATAAGCTTATGTACAAAGATTCCTTACAGAGATAAACAATTGCCAGGCCCGATTTATTCATTGTAACTAGGACAGTAGGACTTTGTTTCTTGTGGAACAAGGCCACATTCTTCTGCAGAAAATAGCCTTACAGGAAGGCTGCTACAGCTGCATCCATTGTTAGAGCAGCTCCGCCTAATCTGAAAGGTTTAAATGCCAGTGACCCTGACTATTCATTGTGTTAATTCTACAATGTTAGACACATTGTAGTGCTCTGCCCTTGAGTCATCCTTAGCTCTCCTTTCTTTTTAAGCTTTAGGTTAGCCTTGAACTCGTAGCCTTGGTAACTTGGGATCCTTCTAATGTTAACCTCTTGTTGCAGCCTCTTGTTTTATGACAGATACAATGTGCTGAAAAAGAAGCAGGATTCTTGAAGAACTAAGGTGGGTGGGGGAGAGGAAAATCTTGGCCAACCATGGGAAACTGAACAAATCATTTCTCCTTTTCCTTCTTCAGTCTCTTTCTGGAAACCAGAGCTTTTGGCCTAGCCAAGGCAACTCTGGGTAGATTCTAATTGCCAGTAGGTGAGCAAACAGAGACATGATTCATTGCGTCCACTAGGAGGCACTGTAGCACCAGTGCAGTGTCTTAGGGACCTCAATGTAACCAAGTCAATTAAGATGCTCCTCTCTCTCTCTCTCTCTCTCTCTCTCTCTCTCTCTCTCTCTCTCTCTTTCTCCCTCCCTCTCTCCCTCCCTCCCCCCTCTCCTTCCCTTCCTCTTCTCTTTCCCTCCTTCCCTCCCTCCTGAATCTATTTTCCTTACCTTTAACCTTCAAATTCAAGTTCATGCTACTAAGAAATCAAAGATTGAATTCAGTAACAGCAGTTGTATAAACCTAGGAAGAATCCAGTCCTCAACTAATGTGGCTGGATTGAGAAATCAGAATCCTGGAGCTGGGGCTGGAGAGATGGCTCAGTAATTAAGAGCACTGACTGCTCTTCCAGAGGACCTGGGTTCAAGTCCTGGCACTCACATGGCAGCTCACAACTGCCAGTAACCCTAAGATCTGACATCCGCACGAAGACATACATGTAGCAAAACACCAATGCAAATAAAATAAAAATAAATGTGATATAAATATATGCATATATATAAAACCCTGGACCACCATTTGCACTGCGAATAGTGGCTCATGGTTTTGCTATGGCCTTAGGAGGTTGAAATTCTTAAGGGAGGTAAAGAGTGGGACAAATCCCATCTTCTATAACAACAAAACCATGAATGAAGAAGTGTGCGGACTCTCTGTGAAGACAGCTGCAAAATTCCTCCAGAATAGAGAAAAAGCCCTAAAATTGAGATATACCATGTTCATGGATAAGAAGTTTCAGCTCCGTATAAAAATAACACTAGTCTACAAACGCATTCACATGTATGCAATCACAATCAAACTCTACTCCATATTTCCTAGAAACTTGATGAAATAGTTCTAAAATTCATGGGAAACAATTAAGCAATAAAAATTAAAGGAAAAAATTCTAACTTTTTGAAGTGGAACAGAATTTGAACCACTATTTTTTGTTTGTTTGTTTATAATCATAAAGCAGTTGAAAAAAAAAAATCTCTTTCTTGGTCTCCAGGGCTGCATGAGTAGGAAATGTACCTGCCACACCTGCTTGAAGACCTGAGCTGGATACCAAGAATGCACATAAAAAGCCAGGAGCAGCAAGTCCTGCCTGTAACTCTAGCACTGGGGACAGGCTGGGGGCGGGGGGGGGGGGGACGACAGCAGGCAGATACTTGGAGCTCCCTGGCCTGTCAACTTCGCTGACCTGAAGAGCTTTAGATTCAGGGAGAGATCCTACCTCAAAAAAATAAAGCTGGGCTGGAGAGATGGCTCAGTGGTTAAGGGCACAGACTGCTCTTCCAGAGGACCCATGTCCAATTCCCAGCACCCACATGGCAGCCCACAACTGTCTACAATTCCAGTTCCAGGGTTCCCAACACCCGTGGCAAAATGCCATTACCCAAAAAATAAAAATAAGTAAATTAAGCCGGCAAGATTGCTCAATAGGTAAAGGTGCTTGCCACCAAGCTCCGTGAAGCACATTCAGTTCCCAGAACCCACACTGTGGAAGGAAAGAATGAATTCCTACAAGTTGTCTTTTGTCTTCCATATGCATGCTATGAGAGTCACCTATATGCATGTGTGTACACTCACTTGTGCACGAACACGCATGTGCACACACACACACTAAATAAATGAAACAAAAACAAAATTTTAAATAAGTGGACAGGAACGAAGAAAGACACCCACAATCAACTTTATGTCTCCACATATATGTACATACATGTACCCAATATGCACATATAAATTTACTAATAAGCACATATGCCGCACATACACAACACAGCACACACACATGTCACACACTCATCCAAAAAGTTGTTATCATAGTTGCTACAAAACAAATAGGCTAATAAAAGAAAATAACTATTGGGTTTCAAACCTGGGACAAATGGCTAAGGTGTCTATTTAATAGATCAAAAGCAGACACTGGCCACCAGACTCTCTCTGCATCCCTCAGTCCTGATCTGTTACAGGGCCCTCCTGGCTGGTGTATCTGCCCCCTACCCTGAACTCTGCAGCCCATGGGGCTCAGCTTCTCTTTCCTATATAGTACAAGCATTTTGGTTACCCACTCTCTTTGTATCTTTGGGGCTCCTTGCTGCTGCCCCTGGTTCCCCTCTCTCTCCTCACATGACCCTGGGTCGCGACCACTCTGGACTCTCCCAGATGTCTACCTCTGACTACAATCTCCCACAATTCTCCTCCACCACACCTAGGAGCAGCCGTGTCTTTTGCCTCTCTCTCTCTCTTTCTCTCTCTCTCTCTCTCTCTCTCTCTCTCTCCCTCCCTCCC